GTCAATCATATCACTTTAAAAGCTCTGTGGTAGATACAGATAATTGTCCGAATGGTGTCAATGAGCTGATCTCACAATTTAGAACATTATTCAATAGACCTATGGATTAACGAATATAAACAAGCGAAATTCAGGATAGGATGTACTATGACTCAGATGATGGCGAGCAGCAACAACGCTTAGTAGAAACGTGACATTAGACTGGAGAGCACGTAGCCCCTTTGTTGATGTTGACGCACCATATGGTATTCTTGACGACGAACAAGCAGAAAGTCTTGTCACAGCGGATTCTATTAATAAACGTCTCTTCCGATGATAAGGAAGAGGGAAAGGAACCATAACAGCGTGTAGAAAATATGTTTCATAAAAAAACATACTGGAACGTCGAACACGCATGCTAAAACAACCCACAAATATCGGCATCCGAATGCGAACAGTTGTAATAATTACGTATAGGTTTTGGGATCGTTACAAGCATAGATAAACGTAGTCATGCAGACATATCAGTAACTGCCTCTAAACTCGCAAAGCACCTTAACACATGTCTTAAATGTCTAGAGTGGTCAAGCTACTGTGTAGAAATAACATTAGACAACAGATGAAGAGAATGTTTCAACTTAAATGGCACTAGACATAAGTCACAGATGCTCTCCATTGCTTTGATTTCCTTATTTGTGGTATGGCCAGAATTTTGAAACCAGGGCTAGAAACTCATGCATCATAATCTCAAGACTAACAGAACTGACTCACCAGAATTGTGATATGACTTTCAGCTTACTGATTTTCCATGGATCAGGTTGATAATCATTTAACATCAGAAATAGGTTAAATTTTAAAGGCAAGGAATGACGAGTATTCTTGATGGGACACGGTACCAGCAATAAGACATTGTCACAGCATCTATCGTGATGAAAACTACGATCCTAGTGACACCCAGGTTTGTGTTAAGAATAACTGGCGTGTCACTTGCAAACCAACAATGTTATGGCAACACACTCCTAATTATCTCAAGGTTTTGACAAGACATGCTAATCACTATAGTAGACAAATTATTTGTAAACCCACTGTACGTTTTGCAAACTGAAAATGTGCAAAGAAGCTATAGCTTTCCAGACTTCGAAAGGAAAAGATAAAAGTGAACCAAGCCGTTAAGGACTTAATATTTCACGGGTATTCAAAGTTTCACATTTATGATCGAAATATACCAACCTAATCAAATCAAAAGTTAGGAAAGAAGGAGTTCGAAGATATGCCTGAAAAGTATTTGGTATGCCGAAAAGTGTATAGTTCGTGCTCACTACACGTTAAGAGGACTGAGTAATAATAATATGTTTCTGCATGAGCAGGTACACGCCATTTTTACATGCATAATCTGCAAATTACAACATTTGTTGGTTCACAGCATACTTCTCAACTTATTATGTTTTTAGTTGTTATAAAGTAGACTCGTAGAACGCTTGCTGTAAACTATGACCTTGAGGAGACGCGTACATCAAGTTTGTTCCAGATGTCAAGAGCTCCATAGCTGTGACCTCAAAGCAAGATTCTGAAGAAAGAAAAAAGAGAAACCGAGGAGCAGCAAGGCACTTGGATATGAACGCCAAACGTTGCTTGACATTTTGTAGTAGAACATACAGAGGTATAAAAAATTAGATTAAATTCATATTATCTCTTATTAGAGTGGAATGAAATCAGAGGCTCCAGATGAGACAATGTTGTATTAAAGAACAGTGAGTTGTGATGTTTAACAACTTGGAGCAAGCTCACATGAAGGAAGAAGAGTCAAGGTTTGTACAAGGAAAACTGTTTATTAGAACAGAGTGTGCTTATAGAGGGTAAAGTATTTGGTTTGAATAATTCTTTCTGGTTAGCGTTTTTTTAGCGAGTTAGTTTTCTACGGGATGGGGTCGCTAACCCCATGCCCAACCCTCCTCCTTTATCCGGGCTTGGGACCGGCAGTAGCCCTCGGAAAGGGGCTCCAGGCGGAGTTGGGTAAAGTATTAAGAATACTAATAATTACATCTTTTATTGACCAATTTTTTCTTTCTTTTTTTGTCCATCCGATGCCAGTGACACAACCCGAGTTAGCACGTTACAGGTTGTCTTAGTAGAATAGCTAATCCAGCATAAAATTGGAAACATGAGTCTGAGTGGTGAGCGTAAGAAGACAACCTATATCACTGATTGATTGATTTATTCTCAATCATGAAGAGCCTGATATAAATAAAATGTTCTACCCCACAAACATGGGTGGATTGAAGTCATCACCAAATGATGATCTGATGCGAATGAGTGGTCGAGCCTCTTCAGTTAGGGTTTGAATAATAATACGAAAAAGGTCAACACCAGTGTCAAAAATTTGCAGGACCACTTGTTTTGGGAATTCACCAGCCACCCTAGTTTTAAAGTAATTACTACCGGAAGGAATAACGTCTGCGCTTTTGGAAGACTTAATAAAAAGTGACTGAAAGAGTGCAGAAGCGTCTTGGATTTAACCACCGTTCTTCGAAGTAAAAATCTGAGATCACAAAGAAGTAGGATATTGGTGAACTACTTTGAGGATGAAACATTCTCTTGCGAACACACGACTATCGCTTCACGTACGTCCTCCTTAAATTGTCTCCCATCTCAATTCTTAGTCTTTTGAATAGTGTGCGTCGTAACAGCGTTTTTTACCTGAACTTACATCATAACCACTAGGACGACAAGTAGATGTAGAGGTGTAAATTCAGAGAGCCGATTTTCTGGTACGTCCGCACACAGTGAAGGAAACATTCCTTTAAGGGAACTAAAGTAAGAGAAGCATAAGACTTCGTTGGAAGCAATTATATCAATCCTCACTAGTACATCCAAATCGTCAGACACAATCCCAACCAAACACACGAATATGGAAGCCACAACCCGAACTCATACGCCAACAAAATTGTCGACAGTTGCTTATTCATTGGTATCTGTTAACAACAAGCAGCATTGAGTTCACTTTGGGACAAAGACTCTGGGAAAAACTGCACAAATTTATTGTGCGTTCCAGGGTCTTAGAGCAGATTGTTAGGTAGTCGGCCAGGCTTTGACGAAGAACTGTAGGACAAGCACGGTTCAATGCTGGGAAACGGTATCGCTTCAGCCAAGCTATTCCACCTGAATAAGGGCCAAAATATAGCAAACGTTAAACTCCCTTAAGAAACGCAATGTACTGGTGAAAAAGCCTGCAAGTGCCAGTTCCCGCGGAACTGGTCGACATACTTTAAAGAATAACCTCCTTTAAATACTAGATGACATAGTGCTGTAGGGTAGGTAGCACCATGTGAATATAAGAGCCACAAAATGCCTCTATAGCAACATAAAAGAGTCAAATGGCAAACTGGGCGAAATCGAAAACATTATTCCGGTTGGATCTGAAGATCATAGATCTAACTAAAACATGGCTATCATCTGACATCACATGTTTAGAAGTGAGCTTGCAGGGTATAACAATTTACCGATACTATGGGTATATAAAACAAGCGGGGCGGTGACATATATTAAGGGTCACATCAAAGCGTGTCAGTGGTACCGAGCTAGCCGAGGTGACAGGATCGCGCTGATATTGCTACAGCGAGAATAATATGAAATACCTGAATGGGTGAATATTCTGACCCACCACATATTCTAACACCCAAAAAGATAAGATCATTCAAGTGATACTAAAACTACTGTGTTCGGGGCCTGGTCAAAGACTACTAGCTCGAGAATTTGTAGCGGAGTTCGTTTCAAATGATTCGTGAAGCTAAACATATAATCACTAAGGTGATCGACATTGAACATGTAACACTTAGAGGAGGTCGGTAATGGAGAACGCGGGACGAACTTAATTGACCAAAATGACAGGGCTTGACCATGTGGGCGCAGTCACTCTACATAAATTATTGTTTTTTTTGTATTGAACACATCACTTTACCCAGACTAAATGTGTTATTTGGGAGTGTTGGATCCTAGTGGCCCAAGCAACAACGATGGTGACGCCACCGACCTTATGACAGAACGATACTCCCGGACATTTCAACTGACTCACACTAACTACACTAATGAAAGCTTCATCTGCAACACAACAGGACTTTCAGGAGTACACCTGAGCTATGACTTGATGAACCTGAAACTGCAGCACCTAAAAATGACATTTCTCCCGGCCCGGATATGGTCCATTAGCACTAATTTCCAAAGGAGTTCGACGCAGCGAAACTTCAAGCTATCGACCGGTAGTACTTCTCTCTATATCCACAAAAATTATGGGGCCCTTGTTATGCGGCGGTATACGGTACTATTTATTATCCGTAAAATTCTTTTCACCCCAACAACGCGGTTTCAGAAAATGTAACTCATGTATAAACAACCTGCAGACCGCTGTAGACAAATGAATTACACCATTCTAAATACTTCTGTCATCCCCTTAAACACATACTTAAGTTTAGTCCTACCACAAAACTTAGAGGTCACAACCAGAAACAGGAGACACAACACAGCAGAACGGAATGTGGACACAACTTCTACTACCTAATAGTAGTAAAATTTTGTAATTCGCTGCCGGCCGAGCTAGTTCAAGCGACATTCCAGGAGTCCTTTAAGAGAAAACCTGATATATTCTTAAGGACTAAGGATAATATCTTACTATGATTCGCCAATTTCTTTTTTTCTCTTTTATCGTTAATATGCCTAGGCTCCTGCCTGGAGGTACTGATGATCCACTGCTACTAAACACGGAAGCCCGTTATGCGAAAGCTTCTTCTTATCCGTCCACAACCATTTGAAACTTTTGAAGCTACATGATATTTAGAAATTTATAAATAACTACTAAACTGACTTGAATTAGTGTAGTCGAGCGGCTAGACTACCACCCACTGGACATCAAAAATATCTGAAACCGTTCCGGAACAACATGAAGCGAGAGCAAAGAAACTAATATGTGTATACAAACTAGTTTCAAAGATATTGGATATTGGATTCTATGACCTAGGTTCAAGGTTGCGTCTCCAGCTTTCAAAGTAAAAATTAGTCGTTGTCTGCCTGTCTATCTTTTTATCATTCTGAAGATTAAATGGACTGAAATTTCGGCTGTTTAGTTCTCTTTTAAATTTGCAAGTGAAATTTCGAGACTAGTACGTTGGTTGATTAGATTGATGTGCTTCAGTTTAATGTACTGAGTTTACGTCTTATTAATTCTCTAAGGAGTGACATGTTAGAATCCGTAGTGAATTCCATTTTTGGTTTGCGGTTATAGTCGTGATTATTAGCAATAAAGGTTCTGTTTCTCTTAACAGCAAATTAGCACACATCTAGTTAAAGCCGAGAATCGACTTCCGATCGGAAGTAGTAAATTGAGAACTTGCGTAACACCCTCGAAGTCGAGTATATAAGCTCTGTTAGTGAGTTCCATAATAATTTTTTGGCTTTGAAATAAAATTATACCGCAAACAGTTCCATGTCTTTGAGAATGCATGGTGAAGTTGGTCTAGTTCATTTGCAATAGTTCTAGTGAGTCATATCATACAGTTTAAGGCTGATTCATCTTAATGGTGTGCTCATCCTAGAGGAGTCAGCTAGTGCTGCGTCACTGGACAGTCTCTTAATTAATCATACTTAGTTGAAAAATGGTGTGCAAAGAAATAAAAACGATAGCAGAACGATCAGTGAATAAGGAAGTTCTGAGTTGAATGTGGATGAAAACGAATTATTGTAACAGCGGCTTTTTTATTAGGGATACGTAGATAATTATCTAACCTTCTTTTAGGTCTGCTAGGGAAACCTGTTGCTTCAACTGGTATAGCATTCCAGAGGACACATTCGTAGTTCGAAAGCGTAGCACCCCACCCGAATTTTTGTTTCTTGATGGATGATTCTTTAAGGATTACTTCTTAAATATCCACGATAATCACATAATGAACTTACTCTATTGGGATAACCCAGTTCACTCACCATACTGGTATCCATATTGAAGTAGTTTGGCGTTCCATATCTAGTCAGCAAAAATTTTTATATTCCTCACAAACATAAAACTCGTTTTCACTAATCAAATATAGTTCAAATCAAAGGGTCCAACGCATTAGAACTAACAATATTGTAGGTTGACATTTCATAAGCTTGCATGGTAAAATTATTGTATGGAAAAAAGCCAATCATGGTCTTCAACTCAAATTTCTGGTTTTTTCGCAGTGTTCAAACCACACGTATAACGGCCAGTAGAGGGATCGTTGTTTAGCATTTAGAACATTTAAAAAAGTCATTTTTTTTCTTGTCAATAAAAGACAAAAATAATGTTAAATGTATTGAATGGTCAGTTTTTTGCCTGTAAATTGTATACAACAGGAAAACCGATACTATCTCCAAATCTTAACCTTAAGAACTTATTTCTAAGAAAAGTAGCCTGTTGCCATTATATTTATTTACGCTCACAATATGGGTTGCTTGCAAAGAGGTAATATTAACTTTCAGGTGTATGCAGGCAAACTGCTTTCCACTAACCATAGTAAGTTATACAATAACATTTGCGAAAAATTATGCAACTCAGTAATCGAGTGCGATGTTGTGTTCACTGTCTCAGTAAACATTATATGATACCTCAATTTACTAAACTGTTTAGACAAAAGTGGGGTTGCAGGTTACACGAAGATTAAACATCAAATACTCCCGCTAGTTATCTACGTCAATAGTAAGAAGCACGTACCTTATTTACAGCTTACGATAAACATTGCGACCCAAGTAATACTTACGCTGTCACACATTAAAGCGTTGTTGTCTGCATACCTGACATCGAAAATTCGTAAAATAAAAACTGTCCAGAAGAACCTGTAGAAATATGCTCCGGATAGATATCCAAAAAATCCATTTGTCATCTTACACATGGTTAATTATTAACCAGCTTCTGTCCATTTTGTATTACCCTAGTTGTTTTTGGTGTTATCGGAAGCCTAAATTATTAGTTCTTAGTGTTATTCGTTAAGGTGACTGTCTTGACAATCGTCTAAAGTATACATGTTTCAAAAACCAGTTGCTAGTTTTTCTGCATAACTTAAATAGTACTTAGCTGATCTGTGAAGATAGTGACTCAATCAGATACCATGTATTTGATGCTCATTTACATCCGTCAAATGCGAATGATAACACCAAAAAACTTTTTTCTCTTCTCAAAAGTTATTTGTGGTAGAGTTATTCAGTTGTATTTCATGATCTTAATCGTCGTATTAAACAATACAAGGTTCGAGTAAATTGAGTAGTCAAAAACGCCTTTGTGTTTATTTTTACTTGGATTTTTATTTTAATATTTCACTTCCCATTGCTTATTTTAATTATTGTTACCAATGTTTCTCTATGGATTTCGATTATTTTGTGTGGTCCTAGTACTACTGAAATGATGGAAAGAAAAGCCAATTTTCGACTGATTTACTAATTATGAGTTTTGTTCAAAATTACTTCCATTCTGAGTCAATGTGATGATCATTCAGTTTAGTAGTTGATTTGTTTTCTCTTATGATATTTTATTCTGTATAATATACGATATTCTTGCATTCAGTTGACATGAACTATGCTCAGTATGTCATTTGTATAACTAAGTATTTTTCATATATGTGATATCATCCTAATTATTGATCAAAATGGGTGTACAATCAATATATAAATAGGTGTATTTTAGATTAGGGTCGTCATCGTCATAGTGTTTTGGGGCTAATAAATTTTCACTTATACCAGTCTTTGTGTTCTTACTTTTGCATCGTGGGAATTTCAGAAGTCTCTCGTTCAGAGTATAAGTGATAAGCGTTTTTCCGGCACCACAATCAGCGACGACCAGATATAACAACTACTGAGCGCTAATGATCTGTAGATTATATTGGTTTTTATTGTCCTTGTTGATTTCACTATTTATGTACAAACCGTTGGCAGTTTATTGTTGTATTGTATTTGAATGCAAATATAATTGGCTAATATTTCATAAACTTTTAGTGTTTGTAAATTTGCATGATTCGACTGGATTTTCAATGGGCGTTATATACTAATGATGGAGTTCGAGAGATTATCAGAAAATATATCTGAACAGCTTGTTCAGATGACGAGGTCATTGCAGTCATTTCGAGATCGTTCACTCTTCACTGATGTTATATTATGTGCTGGTGATGAAGAACTCCCTTGCCACAAGGCAGTACTAGCTGCTAGTTCAACATATTTCTTAGTAAGTTTTGGGGTTTTTGATTTAGAAAAAATTGTTGATTAAATGACTGTCGACTCCTATTTTATTTGTATTGGTTATTTAAATCTGGATTGATCATGTTTGTGTCAAGGGCTTCAACACTTTCGTACAAATAAATGTACTTAGGTCCACCTGCCGTAACATTACCAGCTTCATGTTTCAGTAAACGAAATTTCGACAACTGTAAGTCCTTCCATTTAGTACCTTCGATTCATCATTATTGTAATATATTTTCAATATGGTTTTATGGAATAGGCTGCTTTATTGGATGAATTGTTCCTCTCATAAAAAACCACCGTTGAATTCTTTTTTCCATATTTTTTTATCCTTCGAGATTTATATTTCAAAGTAAAGTATCAGTGAGTTTATAGTGATGATGAAAATCAATGTTATGAATATTCTGAAATACAGTAGCCATATATTCAGTTGTATTTAAATTCTAATCCAGTTTCCATTTCTATTCATTTCTACAGGCCATGTTTTCATCACCATATAAAGAACAACAAACATCTCGAGTTAAGTTAGATCATATTTCTCCTTGGGCTCTTCGTCGTCTGCTTGATTTTGCATATCTTGGTTGCTTAGAAATTACAGAAGCCACTGTACAAGATATATTTCTTGCTGCTAGTTTACTTGACTATCCAATAGCTATCAAATATTGTGTTGAATTCATGAAGAGTCATTTAGATGTTACAAATTGTTTAGGTATCGAGGCATTGGCTGAAATGCACAATATTACTGATTTAGCTCAATCATCGCATAAATTGGCTGTAGAAAATTTCTCAAGGTATAAACAGCTTTTTTTACTTTTCTATCTATTGACTAGTTTAAAACTATTCTCAAGCAAGGGTACATTTACATGCTTCAACATCAGTTAGGGTCTGATTGGATCTCGCTAATGAGTACAAAGTAGAAAAAAACATATGCTTGATCCGTGTATTTCGTTGTGTTAATGTCTTTTTGAAATTTCGCGCTGAAACAGCGAGTAGTTATTTTCAGAAAAAATTATTCTTACCTAAGTTTACTTCAACGGGCTTCCCTGTCACAAATGATGCATACATAAGTTTCATGTATGAATATACTTCCTATATGTCAAACAAATATTTTTCAGTGTATGTGCTAAAATATAAACAATGTTATAGAGTCAATAGCAAACAGGTATCTGGGACCTTTCTGCTTATTTGTCGTCATTTTCGGTCCTGAATCTCGTCTATTATTGCTTTGGTTTTGTGTGGTTTATCAACCATTAGTTAGAGCATGGTCATTCACTTTCGGTGCTTACTGGATATGAGTTTTTACTCTTACTCAATAGCTCAGAATAGAAACCAATAGCGATCCTGCTGCAACTATTTCTTTCTTCATAAAAGTGAACGTAACTTCTTTGATTGAAGGAATTATTCGTGGTCGTATTTTTGCTAACTAAACTGTTGCCCCCATTATTATTATTATTATTATTGTTATTATTATTATTATTATTATTATTATTATTTCACTCTCATACACAAATTTCTGTTTGTTGTTGTTCTTCTCTTTATTATACGCACTTTATGTTCTCTATCTCTTTACAACCTGCTATTGTGTGGTGCATATGTATTTGGTGCCCTCCCGACCGTAGCTGCTACCTTGACGTAGTGGTCGGGCTTACCTATCGTGATGACTCGACCGAGCTATATTGGCTGGAACATATGTTCCTGTAGGTTATGCCATGCCAGGCAGGTTGATTGAAGAACGGTAAGACCAAAAGCAGCAACTCATGGTCTGAGGGCGAAGTCGTACTGCTGACTGTAGATGGATGTGACAGCAGTAAGGTGGTTCCCTCGGACAACCAGCATCTGCGGCGTTGCTGCCTTCTAACAAGAAAGGACGGGGTTAGAAAAAGTCGACCTTAAGAATGTCGCACCTCACCTTACCGGCGGTAAGGCCTTTTGAAGAACGTTGCTAACACCTTAAAAACTTACCACAGAAAGGCTGTGCGCGACCGGCCTCAAACAGTTGTCCCTTGGGCCCGGCGTTCACACTCACATGTCGTTCAAACCAACACTAATCCAACTTCCTTTTAAGGTTCCTCAAGAAATACCCTTCCACGGTGTGGGTAGCCAGGAAGTGACGTCAGCCCTCATACCCGTAACAGCACGAGACTAAGTTGGTCACATTTAAATCCTTCCTACACCTAATAACTCTCTTATCCCAACAACTACCCCTTTTCACGTCCCTTTATCAGCTCGCACAGCTAGTGCAGACAATTCAAGTAAGCGGAATGTTATTCCTGGTCTCCTGAAATCACGCTCTAAACTACACGTAGGAGCTGTCAACGTCCGAACACTGTGTCAAATAGGACGACAGGCTTCCTTAGCTAGGACTTTAGAATCTCGGTCCATCGATATGTGCTGCGTCTCCGAAACGCGCATGCAGGATCCGAGTAGTGTCATTCATTTGACCTCACCATGTCAAAGTAAAGAACCAACTCGATATGCGCTTCATGTATCTGGAAGACTTGATGCTGCTTCCCGTGGCCTCGCTGGCGTAGGTATAGCTCTCTTAGACTAGATCCCATTAGACAGTCGTTTGTGCGCTGTCCGACTAAACGGAACAGTAAGGACTCGGAAGGATAGGGACACTCGTCGTTGCCTCTTCGTCGTCTCTGTCTACGCTCCCATTGATTGCAGCTCAGATGATGTAAAAGATGAGTTTTACAGAAAGCTTTCCGACCTTCTCCGAAAAGCTAAGCGTTCAGATGTAGTAATAGTGGCTGGTGACTTTAATGCTCAAGTAGGTAAACTAAGAGAAAGGGAAAGACGCCTGGGTGCATCTTATGGTGTCGCGGCTCAAAGAACAGATAACGGCGACCGTCTGTTGCAGCTATGCTCAGATAACCGCCTGTTTCTTGCAAACACTAACTTTAAGCATAAGGAAAAACATCTTTTGACATGGTGACCCCCTAATTCGTCTCAACGCTGGACCCAAGTAGATCACATCGCTATCAGCCACCGATGGAGGGGCTCGGTAGAAGACTGTCTCTCATTCTGGAGCACATGCTTAGACTCAGATCATGCTCTAGTGCGAGCGCGTGTTTGTTAACGTCTTACTGGACGTAGGAAAGATGGTACAAGGAAACCCCTTAGGGTACTATTTAATGATAATCAAACTAAGAGTATATTTCAGGAACAACTAGAAAAACAGTTAGGCAGCCATGTAAGTGATGCCCACTCCGAGGCAGCATGGAATGACATCCAAAAGGCTGTAGAAACAGCAGTGATATCTGCAAGTACGGTAAACCACAAGGTTAGGGGGAAACACTGGATCTCAGCAGCGTCTACCGCACTGATAGATGCTCGAAAATTCATTCCATCTGGCTCTGAACATAACGAAGAGCGAAGTCAGCTTAAGCGTAAACTGACCAGAAGCCTACGCAATGATCGTGAACAGTGGTGGGTAGCGAAAGCAAGAGAGATGGAAAAGGCAGTGGCAATAGGTAACAGTAGGCAACTGTTCAGACTTGTTAAGGAAACCGGTATTAGGAACCCAGCTGTTAGCGAAACAATCTCAGAGAAAGATGGACATATTCATTCTGAATCCAGGAGATCGGATTGATGGGCAGAACACTTTAGGGATCAGTTCAACTGGCCTTCAGTCACACTTCGGTTTCCCACAATCTCCAATCTACCTGAATGGCAAGTTGATGTAAGTCCTCCGACTCTTTACGAAGTTGAAAAAGCTATAGGAAATCCGAAGCGTGGGAGAGCAGCAGGCCCTGACAGGTTTACCCCTGAGATTTTTAAGGATGGCGACCCAGTATTAGCAGCGAGATTGACTGAGGTCTTAGGATGAATCTGGGAACTGGACATAATCCCATCTGACTGGTCTCAATCACTGATTGTGCCAGTCTATAAGAAAGGACAAAAGTCCTCCTGTGACAATCACAGAGGAATCAGTTTGACTAATATAGTGTCTAAAATATTAGCTTCAATATTAATTCGACCCCTAACCAAAGCTCGTAAGAGCAGATTAGAGAAAACCAGGCTGGTTTTCAACCTGGACGTGGTTGTATAGACCAAATATTCACACTACGTCAGGTTCTAGAACATAGACACACATTCAGACGCCCCACAATGGTAGTATTTCTCGACCTTAAGGCGGCATTTGACTCTGTTGATCGTGAGGTTCTATGGCAGTGTTTGTCACTGAAAGGAATACCGAAGAAGTACATCAACCTTATAAAGGCTCTCTACTCGAACACAACTGGTCGAGTGAGAGCTTAAGGCGAACTGTCATCATAACTGATTACCTCAAGTGGTGTTCGTCAGGGCTGTCCACTATTTCCATTCTTGTTTAAATTTGTCGTTGACGTGCTTTTAGAGATAACGCTTTCAAGGGGTTGAACTTCTATCGAAAGACTCTATTGTTGACTTGGAGTACGCCGATGACATAGTTCTATTTGGTGAAGACGCTGGCAAAAGTCAGAGTCTGCTGACCACTCTAAGAAACAATGTAGGCATGTTCGGCATGCGATTTTCTCCCTCGAAATGCAAAATGTTGCTTCAGGATCGGGTTGCACCAACACCCGAACTAGTGATAGAGAGTGGAGTAGTTGAGCGTGTCGACCGCCTCACTTATCCTTGGAGTTTCTTCAGTCTATGTGGTCTGATGTGTGACGAAATCTCAGCACAAATACAGAAGACTCTACTAGCTTTTGCCAACTTGCGTACTCTCTTGGATCCAGTATCATCAAAGCAAACACAAAATTGAAGCATAAGGAGAGACACCGTCTGACATGGCGACCCCCTGCACCAAATCAACGATGGACTCAAATAGACCATATTTCCATCAGTCATCGTTGGAGAGGGTCAATAGAAGATTGTCGCTCATTCTGGAGTACCTGCCTTGACTCCGATCATGTCCTAATACGAGCACGCATCTGCTTGCGCCTCACTGGACGCAAAAAAGCCACACTAAAATGACTCATTAGAACTGGACTAAGTAACGAGAAAGCCAAAAGTAGGTTCAAAGAACAACTGAGTTCACACTTAGGTAGTTCTTAAAACGAGGCTGACCCAGATGTTGCTTGGAAAGATATACGAACAGCTGTGGAAACAGCACTGACATCTATTAGTGACTTAAACCAAAGGGTTACTAAGAACTAATGGATTTCTTCAAGGTCTATTACACTGATGGATTCTCATAAACTCATTCCATCAGGCTCTGAACACGATGAGCGAAAGCAAATCAGATCTAGGTTAAGCAAAAGTCTAAGGAATGATCGTGAGCAGTGGTGGGCAACGAAAGCAAAAGAGATGGAAAAGGCGGCGGCTATAGGTAACTTCAGACTCATAAAAGAAACTGGAACTAAAAAGTCAGGTGTAAGTGAGACTATCTCGGAAAAAGACGACGTTCTTATCTGCTCCCAGTCCAGACGTTTAGAACGATGGGCGGAACATTTTAAGGAGCAGTTCAGTTGGCCTTCAGCTACTCTACAACTACTCACCATTCCCAGACAGTGTGAATGGAACATTGAAGTAGGTCCTCCAACTCTAGCTGAAGTTCAAAAGGCTATAGTTAATCTACAACGAGGAAGGGCAGCTGGTCCAGATGGATTGGTTCCAGAGGTCTTTAAGGAAGGTGGTCCAATTTTAGAGACTAGGCTGACTAATATTTTAGTTAAAATCTGAGAGTTGGACATAATCCCCTCTGGCTGGTCACAATCACTTATCGTCCCAATATATAAGAAAGGGTCAAAATCCTGTGACAACCATAGAGGGATTAGTTTAACTAATATAGTATCTAAAATACTAGCCTCGATAAATTTCGGACGCCTAACTAAGACTCGTGAGCTGCAAACACGTGAAAATCAGGCTGGCTTCAGACCTGGTCGTGGCTGCATCGACCACATATTCACCGTTCGTCAGGTTCTAGAACACAGGCATACTTATCGGCGTCCGACAATAGTGGTCTTTGTTGACTTGAAAGCAGCATTTGACTCTGTTGACCGAGAGGTTCTGTGGCAGTGTCTGTCATTGAAAGGTGTACCTCAGAAGTACATAAACCTTGTGAAAGCTCTTTACTCGAACACTACTAGTCGAGTGAGAGCTTATGGCGAACTGTCATCCGCTTTTGCAACCTCAAGTGGTGTCCGTCAAGGCTGTCCACTTTTTTGTTTATCTTTATCATAGACCTGATGGAAATAACATTCTCGTCGACTGAATTCTCGGGCATCGATCTCTTACGAGGAGGTCCACTTATTGACTTAGAATACGCAGATGACATAGTCCTGTTTGGTGAAGACGCTGATAAAATGCAGAGTCTTTTGGTAGCACTGAGCAACAATGCCAGAATGTTTGGGATGCGCTTCTCTCCCTCCAAATGCAAGTTGTTGCTTCAGGACTGGTCTGCGTCAACACCTGAACTAAGGATAGTGAGTGAAGTAGTCAAACGCGTTGACAACTTCACTTATCTTGGAAGTCTGGTCAGCCCTAATGGGTTGGTGTCTGACGAAATCTCAGCACGGATTCGAAGAGCTCGTTCGGCTTTCGCCAACTTATGTCACCTATGGCGCAGGCGAGATATCCGTCTATCAATTAAGGGACGAGTATACTGCGCGGCAGTTCGTTTCGTTCTACTATACGGCTGCGAAACATGGCCATTAAGAGTTGAAGATACTCGTAAGCTACAAGTATTTGACCACAGATGCCTTAGAAATAATGCTGGTGTCTGCTGGGACCACCGGGTAAGTAATAGTGAGATTAGACGTAGGGTATTAGGAAATGATGGTAAATCAGTTGATGAGGTTATGAATCTTCATCGACTGAGATGGTTGGGCCACGTGTTGCGTTTGCCTGAACACCGATTACCACGACGTGCAATGCTAACCGGTGTTAGGGATGATTGGAAGAAAGTTAGAGGCGGCCAAACCAAAACGTGGCATCAGTGCTTGAAGACACTAAATTCTGGTTTGAGCCATGTTGGTAGATGCAGACTACCTGGTTGGGGTCCGCGTGACTATCGTAACCAATGGTTGAAGACTGTGGGTGACATGGCTCAGAATCGATCACAATGGCGTCGGTGTATACACTTTCTGTCTTCCCTTAAACTAAGAGATTAAAATCGCTTCATGTCTTTCTTTCTACGAACTAATTCTCTCTTCCTGTATTATATCCTTTTATATACTACTACCTTTGATGTGACTACTTCTATGAATTCGGTGTTCATCTTGTTGTGCTAATGCGGTATGGCAACTTGGATCAATGCATATATGTGCCTGGTCCTACGTTGCAGCTGACTGACTGACATCAAAGCACTCTCCTAAAACAAGAAGGGGATTACAATGAATGTCATCCAGTGCTATGGGTCCGATAATTTTAACAGTCGAAACGATAAAGATCAGTTTTATGAGGGGCTGCAGTCGATTGTAGAGAAATCTCTCGAAAATGACCTGACCGTTCTGATACGAGACCTAGACACTAAGGTTGGGAAACACAACAGTGAGTATGAGGATATCATGTGACGACATGAACTGGAATAAATTAACGAAATAGTCAGGGATTCGCAGTCATGTACCTCCAACGAAATAGTTATAATGGCACCATATTTCCCCACAAACGCATATACTAAGCTACATGGATTTCATTGGATCACACTACAGAGAACCAGATTGATCAACTTCTCGTCAATCAAAAGTTCGGAAGGTTCATGGAAAACGTAAAAATGGCAACAGTGCTATAATTGCCAGGTAAAGTTTTTAAGAGTGTTGTTGAACCAAATGGAAGATTCAGTAAACCCTCAACTTGAAAACCAACAATTTAGCTGTCGTAAGGGTCGATGGTGTACTGACCAAATCGCGACACTGCGGATCGTTGTTGAACAATAAATTAAATATAATTCATCACTATGTATTAACTTTGTTGACTATGAGAAAACATTTGACAGTGGGAGGACCTTATCAAACCTTCTTCGACAAAGTCTTGTGCATAAAGTATCATAATCTTGCGGAATTCTTACAATGAACTACAATGCAAAGTCGTGTATGAAGGACAGATGACAGATATATTCCAAGTGAAGACCAGTGTCAGACAAGGCTGATTACTATTTCCTTTTCTATTTCTCCTGGTTATTGACTGAATTATAAAGATCAAAGATCAAGAGAAGCATTTAATACAATGGACATCTTGGATGTAACCTCCGCAACCGACCTAGCTCTTCTATCCCATACACGGCAGGTGAAGACAGCTAGTGTAGCAGGAGCATCTGCAGCAGTAGGTCTCAACATTCACAAGGGAAAAAGCAAGATATTAAAATTCACTGCGGCGAGTGTCGACCAAATCACTTAACGGAGAAGCTCTGGAAGCAGTAAAAACTTACGTACATGGGCTGTATCATTGGTAAAGGGTGTCTAATGCAGGTGTGAAAGCAAGAATCAGGGAAAAAAAGGAAGCATCCTATCGGTGTTTTGGAATATTAGATTTCTAACTGATAATGTGTATAGATTTGTGCAGATGTATATGTGTAGTCAGTAGTACTATGACAAGTATGCAAATTATATTAGAGAAACTCAGTATTCTTGTTTATTGTGCTAAAGTTCTTATTTCCTGTGTTTATGATAACAGCCTACTGAGAGAATCTAACGAATGGGCCAATTTGCCTATTTCGACTGTCATTTCATATATCTCTTCAGATGACTTGGATGTACCTTCGGAACAAGTGAGTCCTACGATTGTTGTTAGTTAGAGTGAATATTTAAATACGGCCTTTCATATGGATATAATTTTATCGATTGAGAGATGTTGGAAATGTGTAACTACCAATAGATCTTTTATCCCTTAACAATTATTCTACATTGCTAGTTATCTTTGTTTACAATTGTTAAGTACAACAAACTTAAATGCGACTCAACTAAATGGTTTGATAAACACAACAACTTGATATTCTTAGAGTTTTTATCTACTCCGTTAGATTTTTTCAGAGGTTTTCTTCACTTACCTTAAATGGATAAAGATAACAATATCTGGAATTAAGTTCTAATAATCATAAAATGAGATTGACTGAATGCACATCTTCGTATTTGTTGCTTAATTTACCGAGTTTTCAATAGGAAACCTGTAATTTACAAAGCTTAATGATTTATTGGTAAATAAAACCAATTAATGACTTTGAAGGATTGTTATTCATTGTTGTCAATTGTAGAAAGCTAAATTAGTCTTTATAAATCAATGCCTATTCTTATCATGACCTGGAGCCAATGTGAATTATTCTTTCAAATGTCTAGATTGGATACTACTAATAAATCTTAAGTATCCAATCAGAAAAGTATAATATTTGTTAATAGTTGTTATTTAATATAAAGTGGCTGTAAACTAACCAATCTTTTAGAATTACAGATGAAATTAGCAGTGTACTTGTTGAATATTGGGGAAAATAGACTTGATAATGTAAATTCTAAGCTACTATTACTGTTTATACCATTACTAGAAAAGCTTTGAATTATCCTGTTTTTGATTTTATGGATTAAATTTCGATCAGTCTTTGTTGGTGTATGTGCGTCACAACTCAGCCTTGAATATTACTAAGTGATGATATAAGCATCATACCCATTGAACAAGTTAGTGGATATCTAAACTCAGTATCTCAGTGGACAGCACATTGGCGTTTGAAGCGAAAGTTACTACATTCGGGTCCCAATGTAAATATCAATACTGGGATGCACGTACACTCAGCTAATGAGTCCTAAATAAAACGAAGCGTGAATCCTGGAGTTAACTGCTAGCCGCCCCCGAATGCCCTGGTACGGCCGAAAGTGGAGAGAGTTCGCTCACTCTCTCGAAATGCTCTCAAATGGCCACGCGTATATATCCTCTGCCAGGGAAGTCCTACTCATTGCCTTCTCGTGGCGGGGGTGTTGTTTACGAAATCGAAAGGACGAAGAGTGAATGTCCGGCGATTTAACCGGGTTGGTGGACATGGAGAGTCCACCTAGGGGAGTTGGAAAACCCTGATTCCAAAGCAATGGTGCACATGGGCTCCAGGATCCTGAGGGAACAAATGGCATATGAACCAATCGTTGGTCACCGGCTACCATGGGATTGCATCTCCTTACGATGCCTCGCTGCCTTGTGGATCAGACCTTTAGGTCGAAGGCTCGGGGTGTGGTCCCCTAAGAAAATCACCTGCTTCGGTCTGGGCACCCGCGCAGTATCACATCCCTCACACAAATCAAATGAGATTTGTGTAGCACATATGTATTTGGTGCCTCCTTGTACCAATATCTATGTGTTCAAATAAAATAAAAAATAACCTAGTCGCAGTCCATTTATTCTATAGAAATACTGTTATAATTGCTATTACTTTTATATATTCAAGTGTTTTCGTTCATATCTTCTTGAATCGTATTTTAGTTTGTATGGGATGCTTGTATTAATTGGGTCGACCAATCTTCTGAAACACGAATTGTCTACCTCCCTCAACTACTGTCACATATTCGTTTGAAATATTTGGAAAAAGAAATGTTGGAAATTCAATTACAAGAAAATCCTTTACTTATTGTAAGAATACTTTATATATATATATATATATATATATATATATATATATATAGCGAATGATGTATATAATTGAGAAGTTCACAAAGCAGAATGTCATCTATGTACTCGACGATTTTTTTTAAAAAGGAAGCTGAATAACTAACGAGCTTAAGAAAACCAGAGACTATTAGTCGACTGCTATGCTATTCTTTAGAACTTAGTATTGCACAATTGTTGGATTCTGGAATTAAGATCAGGATCTTAAGTTTCTTTTTTAGGCAGTATAACGTTAAACCACTGAGAATTCCATTTTACTCCACAGTCAATCTGGTCATACTGCCAACCTCCTGTAATTTACAGATTCGAATTTATCATTAGAACGTAGTGGGTTTTTATCCTCTAATATATGTTTTAAAGAATCCGAACAAATCCCAATAACACTTGTGCTGCTTTGCGAAAAAGTAAAGGTGTACGACCAACTTAATTTTTTCAGTCATAATTTATTAATTTGATGTCTTCCAGTAGCGACTGTTGGTGAACCATAAAATTAACAGGAACGGTTATCTTGGGCTATCTGTCTTGCATATATCCAATTTATACATAACTTCATAAGAAAAATTATATAAAACAGACTTATTCCTCTGTAATATTCTATCGTGTCATACTGGGATATTAAGTTCTTAATATGTATGTTTATAATAATAAATATAGTCTTTTCAATCTTTTTAACTTATAGTCCTCATTCCTACCTCATATTATTGATAAAGTAAACTGTGACACAAGTTTGCATATGTAGTTATGCTAATATCGGAGTTCGGGCTACACACATTGTCCTAATCTCAAGTGATCAGTCATACGTATTTACATACTAGTCCGAAAGGGCGTGGATGCAAATCCCACCTCCATCACAACATTTTGTGCTAAGAATTCTATATTGTACCAAAATATAATATTGAATAAAGCTATTAGTAATAGTAATAATGTTTTTCACTTCAACCTAGTAGATAATCCTCGTTTATTTAACGCAATGAGTGCTTAGTTCGAGTCTCAATGAGAATACAATCACTCACCGCGTTATAGGTAAATATATGTCAATGAGTTCCAAATATGGAGAAGTGCATGCTACTGTATTTCAATTCTAATCATTAAATGTACAATGAAGATGAAAATACAGTCAATATCAAGGCTGATTGACTGATCCACGTTTATGAGATAACTGTATTCTATATATGAATAATTTAGGTGATATAGTTCAAAATTGATTACAATGGTTCTGACCCATAGTTTATCTCCTTCTAGTCCTAAAATTTACAATTGTCTAATTCTTTTTATTCTCAAATTTTATCGGTTTTTTTAAAACTTATGAGTGTCCAATTCCTGCTTCTAAATTTACTTTAGTGTTTGGTATCATTATTATGATTTCCATCTGTTTACTTTTCCTCTTGTTGATTTCTATCAGTTATGTTGATGTGTAGTGTATAACAACTCAGGTTGATACTAATTTGTACCAAGCCCTACATTTTTAATATTTATCTACCAATAAAACCCGTATGTCATAAACGATTGGTCAATTCAATGTTGAACTTCAAGAACGAAAAAAGTACATAGATTTAGTTTCTCTGTTTATTGATTATTCGAGTGAATAATATAAATGACCTTATTTCCCCTTTTCTTTTATTCCACTTACAGTGAATGATTATTTTGCACACAGACATTATTTAAATTTATATGAATTTTTCTCTGCATAATTTTCATTCACACTAATTTTGTTTATGGTGAAATATATAATTAGGTCACTGATTACATTCATCAGTCACCTTTCATTTTCTAATGTCCATTATACCTGTTCGTTTCATAGTGTATAAGCTCTGGTATAAATTCATATCTTGGTGTAAATATGTAACAAGTTTTAAACAATACACATAATTCTTAATGAGATATAAACCTAGTAAAACTCAGTACATTTTGAAATATAGTTTTATAAACTTTTTACAGACTGCAATGTATATTAGAATGTGTTTAAACATTTAGGCTTAGATATCCCTAGTTTATTAAATGTACAGTTGCAACTCATTTTTTTTCTGCATATTTTGACTCGATTACAATTTTAAGCATATAACCTTATAAGCGAACTAGTTTTTATTTAAAAAGATCACACGCTGTATAATATCCAAAATGCCAAAATATTTAGAATCATAATGCTGACAAGTATCACTCACTAATGAAACTAGCGTTAATTTTGATTGCAAATAACTTTTCTAGGAAAAGAAATGGCAATTTCCAAGACGAAGTGACTAAAATTTCTAGATTTAATCGCCCGTTTGTTTAACAATTCTCATAATTATATAGTTTGAAGTTTAAACTACAATCGCAGCTTACCTGGTTTAGTCATGGAATATGGTGTTAAGTTATGTGGATCAAAGCAGTACTTATCTGTACTTAATATAAATTTATGTGTATTTGGATTCTACCAGATTATACTACTCTATATATTTAAAATCCTTATCACGGTCTTTTTTGCCTGAATATTTTATGTTGTACTCTTCTCAGAAATATTCTGACAAATATGTTGATGATTGGCTAGAATAGTTTTTATTTATTAAGCGATTGTAAATTTGTGGAGAAAAGTAATCAAACTTTTAAATGAATTATTTTAGGAATGCAAAATTGCTCAAAATATCATCAGATATTTTCTTCACAATGCTTATAACGGTGATGATAATCCATCAATGTATGTCAACAATTTACCAGCTCGCCTAGCTACACTGAAACATCCTACGTTAGTTGTTTTAGGTGGTCTCAATACATGCATTTTAAATTGTATGCAGTCATTTTCACCATCTAGAACAGTATGGCAAACTTGTCCTTCTATGCCCGTGGATAGTTTAGCATGGTTCTCTGTTTCTGTCATTGCAAATACTCTATTTGTTATTGGTGGAATTAAAGTGAGTTTTCTATTTGTATTTTTCAAAATAGTCACCAGACTAGGATATTATTTGAAAAGATCCGGTGTTTTTATATCTTTTGATTTTTCTTCTGATAATTGCAAGCAACCACTAGGATGTTATTTTCGGTCGAAGTTTTAGATGGATTTATATTCATAACCAAGTTTTCCTGCAGTCTCGAGAATGTTTACACTGTCTTCCTATAACGTTCACTCTTGAGTCGTTAGTAAAGCTTATTAGCGATTGAAGACAATCCTGTATCAGCTATAACCGACTGACTAATTTATATAATCATTTCGCTTTTTATCAAGCGAAATTTTATAAATTTAATTTTCGTAATGTAGTCCAATAATTACTATCTTCCAGTTTCTCTCTATCTATAGTGATAACTGATATTCACCACTTTATTTTTTATGTAACTTTGATTTGGTATTTTAGACAGGACTTTTACAGGTTTAAATCCTGTTCTACCTACCAACGGTTAAGTGGTCATATAGTTTGGTTAGCCAACATACACTAGATGTACCTCATAGCCTATTAAATCAGTTTGTTTCTTCCCGTAGGCCGGTACACTCATGGATTCAGTGTATGCGTATTCACCTGTTCGATCTTCATGGAGTCAACGCAAATGTATGCCGCAGGCGAGAGCTCGGCATTTTTCTGTTTCTGTTGGTAGCCGGTATATTTTTGTATTCGGTGGTGTAACAATGTCTATAAATTCTAATCATCGACATCATTCATCAGATCGTGTAATTATAAATCATTTACAAGAAAGTAACTCTTCGTTAAACAGGCGGAATTTCGTTTCCTCGCGATTGTCAGCATTCAACCCAAATCTTTCAATAACTGAATTAGATATTCCTACATTGAATTTTGAAAAATCCATTATTCGATATGATATCTGTAGCGATACATGGATTAATGTAGGAGAAACAGATAATCCAAGACTAGAGTCACATGTAGTCTTGATTAATGAGTCGAATGAGAATGCAAGTTTCAATCTACAATCATCTGATGGAATTCATGAGACGGATAGTGAGCAAACTTCATTACGTTCAGATTTATCAGGTAAAGCTTTGTTGTCGAAAATTGAATGCATTACTATCATGATATTACTATTTTATGTCTCATGTTGCTGTGTTAACTAATAGATTTCCTTGCTGTTCGGATCGATCACATTATTATACATTATATATATTAGTGGCAAATAAAATTCCTATAATACCATTATATATGTACACCGAATGTGGATTTTGTTCTTGGTTAAGTTTATTTCAAAAACTTGTTCAGGTATATCTTATAGTTCTGAAAATTTTACTATAGATATTGTCTCAATTAACTTGTAATAAACATATTTATAGATTTCCGAATCTCAGTAACAACTGATTTTTCAAATAGTTTATGGTTTTTAAATAAAAATTTGGAAATTGGTTCATTTTAAGTGTATTTTTTCCGTAGACTAACATCAAATGAAAGACTTGGTGTAGTGAGATGTTTCGTACTAACTCATTTGGATTACATCGTCATGACTACACACAGTATCGAACTCAAAACGTTTGAGCACGATATATTTAGGTTACTGAATATTCGTTAACAGAATCACTGAATTCCCAATATTGTACAACCATCATCTGATTTCTTCGATGAGTGATTGGTTCAATCACACTTCTCTATCCATCTCTACTTCATTAAAAATGTCTAGCAAGATATTCAGCCTGCAAATCTAAATTATTTTATGTGAACCTGCTGTCTTATCTTTAACTAACTGATAATGGTGGCTTCTGACTAAGAGAATTCAAATGAAAACTTTGTTAACACCCTACTGAATTGGTTTTGATAGTTCATAGTATTACCACCATTTCTTGGGATAAAGAAATGAAATGATCATTCAGGCTTTAAATCACTGGTAATATGATTAAAAATTATGTTAAAAATCAGCGTCTGACTGCTTAAGTATACTGTTCCACAACGCTCACCGTAGTTTCTGTTTCATAAGTCCAATCATTAGTCTGGAAAATGACTTCGTTTCACTACTTCTAATGTGGAATGTTTCAATGAACATGTTTTCGGGTTTTCATAGATTCCATATACATGTGTACATGCTAATTCAGCAGATGATCAATTTGATCTGGTAGTAACACTTCTTTTTCCTAAAATTCTACTTAATGTAGTTCCATTTAGTTGAAAATAAAATGAAGAGGATAAATGATCCAGAATTGAAGTTAGAATAACTAAAAACAGAAAGTGATCAATGTTGTTTTTGTTGCCATTATTATCATTATGGCGACCACAAAGTATTTGAATAATTGTAGGTCAAGTCAATGGATAAGAATTAAATGGTTTCTTTTGTAGATAATGTTCTACAAAATTATCACCATCTAGGAAGACGTTTCATGTGTTTTAAGATACACTGATCTCTATGTTGTTACATAGTTGTATCCGTTGGTGTCTACAGTCAATAATGGTAACAAAAATACATGAATTCGATTAAACGGTTAGATTTTCCATGTGTTGCTACATTCTAGACTAATTTAGATGACTCTTCAAAATTTAAAATAAAATGCTATGTAGAGAGACCTGTTTACAGTGAAAGCAAATCTGATAATCTTGTCAAAGCGTAATCGTATGTGACATTATAGTTAGGGATCACTGGTTACATAAGCCACTATAGTTTCATTCATTTTCGATCCTTTTTACTTACATGTATTACATGCATATATGACAGATGGGGTATAAGTCACTACTTAGGGCATGGGTCTTTATCCGTTATATCATAAGTTTAAAAGCTGGTTAATACCACGGTTTATGAACTCGTGTATCATTGTTTGTTTATCTGAACAATACAAAATGTAAGTTTAAATTCATATTTTTAGAACAATAGTCAGTTAGTATCATCAAGGTGCATTCCGTGTATGATGTGGTTACCGTATTCATTGTGAAATAAGTTATTGAGTTTGGATGTCAGAAGATTTCTAGAAAATAAAGTAGAAAAGTGATACTACTATTTATATGTTTGTAGTGGCGAAAAGAATTTGATAAACGATATGGTCAAGATATTTTCTTCAAAATTGTAGGCTAATGGCATCAGTATTTAGGTTTGGGAATATATTTTTCCTTATGTTAATCGTGTTTAATTCCATTTTAACGGTTTACTTAATAGTTATTCTAATTTCTTATAATATTAGATAACACATCAGTCTCAGAAAATAATATTACCAACAACAATAGTAATGGTACTAATCAAACCAATAAAACCCGTCGAAGAAATAATTCTATGAATGTAAATTTTGAACGTGTTTTTGTTGAAATCGGTGGAATAACTGAAACACAGCCACATAGTACGGATCAGGTTGCTTTTTATCGTTTACGTCCTGATTATACAGTATTTTGTACCGCGGATTACATAAAACTCCCACAGCAAGTTCGCTATGTGAACTGTTGTGTGCATCAAGTAAGTTGGTTGTTAACTTTCTTTTTTTGTATATGAGTAGTTTGTGGATAAACAATAATTCCAACTTTATCGTGACATGCAATTTTCCTGGTTCACAAAAATCTTTCATTTCATCTGGATGAAATATTCAATTCTAACTAGTTAGTCACGATGTTTGCATCTCTTTAACAAATCTTTAAAGTTTTTTCTTAATCTGAGCCATGGAAACAAGTTTTACTCTTGTCTATTGAAGTCTATGAGAAAGTTAAGATTAATGTTTAAAAACTTAATTTTACGTGACTTAGTGACAAGAATACGACCATTTAACAATAGAAAGTGAAAAACATCTCGTTTTTCCAATATTTCTTTTAATTTTCTTCCTTTTAAATTTTGTCTATAATATCTTTCACCAATTGATATCCAGTATCATATTACCTAGTAATTAATATGGAGTGAGTTTTTTAATGGCAACATCTCTGCATATGAAGCTGAATGAATGTGGTTCAAATCCTACGGGAGTATTGCAGACATGTCTAGTAGATAGGTAGAAACTAGGACGAGCTTCCTCCTAGCTATCCTCAACCATCATAGCATCTTTGTCTTTATTCATTTTCTATCTTATTAACACCTTCTATGTTAATATCAAGTTTAGTAACTTTTACGTGATGTTTGAGTTTTGACAATTTTTGTCATCTACAATAGTATTTCATGTCTTTAGACGTTTTCGAATATATTACACTTTATACATTTGGTGTTCCCTATATTTAGGTGTATAAATTAGGGTTTAACTAGAGATTTACCCATGTTCATATAACACTTTCTGGTTGTTATACTTATTGATAAAATCGGCATTTCGAACTACTATACTCTCCTTACTTTATTTGTAAAGCGAGCTAGCTTTTTCTTTGTCACAACTACATTAACTCCTGATTGTGATTAATTATGATTCGTAGTTACTTTCCCCACATATACGTCGCCTGTTTTTTCTTAGGATACCAACCTGGTGTATATATTTTGGGAATCAACAAGTGAATTGTCAGTTTTAGATCTTCGTCGTCACACACTACGCTCACTAGCTCCCTTGGTTTCTTCCTCCACTTCATCTCCAAACGAAGCACGGATTTATGCTGGGTTATCGTGGGTCGGAGAGCATTTGTATGTGGTTGGAGGATTTAGTGAGTTTGTTGGTGATGATCGACGTCCTACTGTTCCACGAGATGATGTCCACTGTTATGATCCGACAACGAACACATGGTATGTTTTGCTTGGTTAACATAATGCTATATTTCGTTGTGTTACTGAATTACTGACTAGTGTTTTTCTTTTCTTAATTTATTTACTACAGGTCCTGCATTAAAGTTCTAAATACAACAGTCCCTCGAGCTATCTTCGGTTGTGTTTGTCTCAATATGTGATACACGAATATCAGAGTTGTACGAACTTCCATATCCTATATATCATTCATAACAAGAATTATGTTTATTTGTATACCTGTTATTATTTTAATGTGATACTTCCTGATCGTAGGACCTAAATATAATAAGGATATTTTCTGTTCACTTATTTTCATTTGTGATTTTTCTTCCTTTGAATTTTAACTGTGTCCATAATGCAGTGACATATATTTGCTCTTTAACTTGCCAAATTATTTCCTCATTTTAATTGTCCCGCTGGTTCGGGTCGTACATTTCTTCTATGAGATATCACTTAGGTATTATAATCATCAGAGTGTTATCCAAAAAATGCATTTATACTGTTGTCAAGTTAATTTCGTTGTTTTTCATTTCTCTAATAATGGAAGCATCTGTGTACGTCTTGTCAGATTATTCATTTATAGTATAAGACTCAATAGTTTTCGTTGGGAATTACCTTATTTTGTAGTTATTTAAAGATGCATTGCACTATCATTCCTTTAATTGTCTGCTCATAGTTTGGAGCAATAGAATGACGGCTCATTGGTCAAAATATTTGACTTTCAATAACTAGGTAGAAAGTTCAGAACTCACCCCACCTACATTGGTTTCAGCACTAGATTATACCATTGCCTCTTATGCCTAAAACGTGACTCATATCCAAATATATGAAGTTGACTCAGTGAACTACTTAACTATTTATTTTGTCCTGAGAGACTAATAGAGATAAGAATAACTTTTTCGTTCTGATTGATTTCACGGTAGTTTTGAGCGACACGTATAACTGGTGAAATTTTAGTATCTAACTACCTGATTTGTTCGATAATTTAATGGGTAGAAGACAAAGGAGATATGATTCATTTAAAATTTCACATCACGTAACTAGAATTCGGATTTCAAGTGTAAACATTGCAGCAAGGGCTGTAGATACTAAAGGTATTTAGCGGATACCCAGGATTGGTATTTCCAAAGATGCGTTTTTACATAATCTTAAATTACATGAAGTAACAGCCCCTAATGTATTAGGTAGTTGTGCAGTTTGGGGCTATTTTACCGTTTGAACAAATTCCCTACTAGTATAACACTGAGTTAATGCTTTTATGGCAGCTTTAGGAATTGCTATCTTAATCAAGTTAAACCCCATAAATGTGGCTTAATATTATTACCTATAAGTAAGTTTAGTACCGGAAATGGTGTTCCATTCTACGAAGTGCCTGAAGCTTTATTTAAATAAGCTGATCCTACGTTGTAGGTGTTTGGAATCCCATAGTCGTGACCAGTTATTTCAAGCTGCAGTAGGATTCTGAATCCCAGGTGATATCAGCCGTATATATGGCAGATAGTAGCCTTTTATCACAGTCGCTTGATTTTCTACTACAGAGAACAGCAGAAACAAACCAAGGATGAAGAAGTAATAAAATGTATCCTAGGAGAAAACATGTAAGGTATTGCTGTTAACTTTGAAACATCTCTTAGCCCTCAATAAGAGATTCCGCATATTTCACAATACCCAGTATAAATATACACTTTTTTATTAAAAGCCACTGATATGAGTTTATACTGTCCTTTTTGGCCCTTGCAACAAGCATTCAAGTAGATGATGTATGCTTACAATCCGTCGTACAGTAATTGTTGTCTGGCCTTAAAAATGTTTCTTGGTACTTGCCTGAAAGAAATAAACAGTCGTAGAGCAAGCGGCTTTCAAACTTCGAGGAATGACTTAATGTGAAGATTATCAACACAACCTCAGGACATGGCCAATTTCGCTGTTCTCAAACTCCGGTTCGGTATAATGTCTGTGCAGACTGTAAAAGCTGTTATTTAAACTAACTCATCTGTGTTCGTCACAAAAGTATTGCTTCTTTATGAAGTTAGTCTGAGACTTTATAGACTATCTGATACCTTAGTCAGTCTAGCCAGTGTTTCGTCAAAACTTGTATCCGCTTCATTCAAGGTTAACTACTATTAGGGCCAAATTTCGGAGGCTAGTGTTGACATCACATCCAGATCTCTGCTAGATGAGTGTAAGTAACAGTTGGTAACTCTGGGTATTAGTTATTGTCGTGTCAACTACCTGTATTGCGAATTCACTGTAGACTCATCTTTCTCTGGGATAATTGCTATGTATACAGCAGTCTACAGACATCTAAATAGCTGATGCTTTTCCCACCATCACTGCTCGCAACCATCAAGGTTTACATTACAGCTGACTTCACTTATGATTCTTAGGGTTAGCCATAAAGTTGCATCCACTCGTTAGTTCAGATGAAGCCTAGTATAGCATATGAACCACTGGCACAATTCGATAACTGGGTTGTTAATAGATACGCATTTAGTGCGTTTATATGCAGTGAACCCAGATTTTCCGGGTTTGCACATTATGTAAATAAAAGATACTATAGTCGTTCATTTCTTGGGATCCTCGAGGTGTATTCACTTGTTTCAATTCAATACCCGACCAGAGACCACACTCGTAGACTAAGAAATGACAGTAGTGATTCGCTGCTATAATGGATAATATCGATCTATAATTGACCAATGTTGATTTATGACAGAATTCCTAAGCCATGTGCCTCAGTGTTTTAGACTGCTCTCAGTAAAAAGGATTACTGTCAGGAAAAAAATCAACAGGCCATTACAATCATTTATCGTACACCTACAAAACATCTCTATTTCCTTTCAATGTTTGACAACTGTAATTAGAAGTCCAAATCACCTGCGTTCTAACCGTTATTTATGTAATGAGAAATAAATAGATATAAAATTGTGTTTTTATTTCAGCCATGTTCATACAGAGTGATCTATTAATGTAGTAATGTTAACTAACGGATTAGACGTAGTGGATTTGGTATTCTTTCTTAAAATTTCTGAAATACTTAAACTCACAAGTTTAAACGGTCAACCTTCTCTAACCCAGAGTTCTTAGTACGATGAAATAACATCGTCTGAAATAGTAGGGTGAAGGAAACATCTTGCTACCGTTATATGTACGGAAAACAAACAATAACTGTGTCCAGATGATTTTGCTGCGGCCCGACTACTCATTCGCTAAAGACTAGTTTCTTTTAGTAAGGATTATTGGTTTTGTTACTTTAAGCTTAACTGAAGTGGATCCCGAGTACCCTTTAGAAAGCATAACTTGTTCTTAGCCATTTAACCTCCAATTCATAATTCTGAAAACATATTCTACGTAGATAAAACGATTGTAAAATAGAACCACGTTTTCAGGACAATCCCTGAGTACTTCATTTGTGTCTATTAAATAACGAAATATAAGTTAGAGCATTAAGTTTTTCGTATATATATAATTGAATCGGTCGCTAAACGAATACAGGACTAAAAAAACACAGGAGTTTCAAATTGGATTTAGATCGTTATAGTAAAAAGAGTTTGTACACTTCGTGTACAGTTGCTAGATGCTTTTAAAATAACTATTAGGAATGCGTTTCATAATAAATTGGCAAAAAAGTTAGTTACTTTGTGCTTATTATTATTGAAAGATACCAATATCTGATGAGTTAATTTACGTACACTGATACCATAGTAAGAATATGATAACAATGATCACATAAGAAATGCATTATTGAGTAACCTTTGATTGAAAGAATACACAACAAAGTAAAGAAGCAAAGAAATCAACGACTTGGATATAATCCCAGAGTAACACCTCTGAGAAGTGGCGGATAAAATTAAGATAAGCTACACAGTTAAATGAAAGTGCAAGACAAAAACAAAACAGTAACTGAGGGCTGAAGTATCACACCTGTGATCTGCAGAGTGAGCTTGTCCTGAAGAAAGAATCATCGACGTTACTCCAAAGCAGAATACATAATGACCTGTTTTAAAACTTTGGTTTGACTTGTTTCACGGATTTCTCCGGCCAGAAACATTTCATCAACAACGCTGTAAACTTTATAGAAGTTAAATACGAGGTCCAATTCACAAACATTGTGGAACAGTTCATTTAAGACCTCTACAAAATTATGGATCGCTTCTAAGTATGCGAGACTATTGTCCATTAGGTCTATACACATACAAAAATACAAGCCAGCATAACGACGATAAACTATCTTAAAATTTCGAAATTCAACAAAGTTAGTATGCTTGGCATCTCGTACGGTGACTAAGGCATGAACTTCTTCAATTAGTTTTTGCTTCTCCTCATCATCAAGATTCATATACCATTTAGCCAAGCGAGTTTTGCCGGCTCGATTTTGTATAAGAATAAATCTAATCATTAGCAGGCTTAGCAGTGTCCTTGAAAATAAATGTGGCTCTTAAGCGTCTTTTAGACACCTTGAAACAATATAAAATAGTTCAAATGATGATGATTACCTCAAATAAGCTCAGAGTCGATTGACTTACATAAGCCAATGGAGGAAGGACGGATTAAAAAAGGTGTGCTAGAAATAAAGGCTCAAAAAAGAAAGATGCTTACGTCTCCCACTCTCAATACGTTGTAGTGACCTACTTTTGTCAACAGAACGCGATTGGTTCGATGAAAACAATTATTATTATAACCAATTGTACCAGTGACTGTTTTACTGTATTCGTTTGTTTAACTGTGCTAATGACAGCCATTATACTTACTCTCCCGTTGACTTTGAACTTTTACGAATTCGGTTACGCTCAGTAACCACGCTTGTACTCCTTTGGCACGATCTCGGTATTCTTTCGATACCACGAGATCGCCAACAAATACATCTCGACTACAGCCATCATCTGTCTTCTGATATTGGCCTACGGGGATCTTATTGGTTAATTGGCACGTAGTCTTGTAGCGGTGTTCATAGTCAAGCTCAACTCGACACCACGCTACATTTGGTGAGCCAAATATTGGAACACGCCTCAACCTCGGTCAAATCTTTCAAAGAAGGCAATTCGGTGAGTCTATTGTTTTATCTATCCACGTCTGTCATATATTTTCATATTAATTTTTAATATATATATTTGACATGACGGATAACGATAAGAATAGTATTAATATAATAGACTCCGATGTACGCGTACCGAATCCTCGGAACTTTTTATTCGCGTGACGTTAAATTCCACGCCTTATTCGAGAAATCCCCCAGAATAACTAAACCACTCGAGGAGATTTAATCGGTGACCAATCGTGTGGTACACCACATAGTCACCCGCGGACCACCAGTCACGGCAAGACCACGCCGACTGGCATCGGACAAATTAGCTTTCGCTAAACGCGAGTTTGACAATTTACTATCTTCTGGTATTATTCGTCCTTCTCACAGTCCTTGGGCCTCTCCTTTACATATGGTGCGCAAAAAGGATGGGGTTAGTTGGAGACCATGCGGCGACTACCGAGCATTAAACGTAGTTACGCGCTTTGATAG